GAAAATCATTTCTCTGTCCTTTTCACGTTTAGGGTTATCGCCGTCTGAGTGTTGACATCGAGGCTATGAGAGATGTACGACGAGAAGTCAGAGACAAATGGAAGGCGATCTTGGAAAACTTAGGTCAGGCTGGACAGATGTGACAAGAGGCACACTATCATATATATATATATATATAGAAAGAGAGAGAGATTAACCACAAATGATTTGCATTTATTTCTAGGTTTCATGGCAGAGGCAGATATGCTGCTGACAGTGTCTGCCAATGCCTCGCTTGACCGCATGCGTAACGCCCCAGCAGCACGGGACCTTCTTCAGACACTGCACTCTGAGACATCCATCTTCAACAGCAGAGATCAGCCACCGGAAAGATATCTCTTCATCCTGGTGAGAGCTGTGACACTGGATTGGAACTCATACCGTACTCAGAGTTGGAAAATAACTAAGTACATTTTCTCAAGTAGTATACATAAGTACAGTTTTGAGGTATCTCTATTTTATTTGAGTTGTTCCAGTGTAGGATCACAGTAAAGAAAGCATGTACTGTAGGTTGACCCAGTCCCAGTAGTGCAGTAGAAAACACTTCAGTCTCATAATAATTTCATTCACAATTTTGTTTTTGTTTCAGCCAGTTTTCTTGTCTCTCTTCACAGGATCGTCTCCTGTATCTAGATATAGCTGACGATTTTGTAGCAAAAGCAAAGCGCTTCTATCCTCCAAGGGATGACTCTGATGAGGAGACGCCGGGTCTTTCCATAGACCTCCCACTGCTGCTGGCCAGGGTAGAGGCCATGAATGGAGGAGGTGATGAAGACAAGGATGAGAGCAACAAAGACTATGGAAACTTGAGTGCCAAATCTTAAGATCTACAGGCTGCAGTAACAGTAGACACAAGGCAGGGGGCAGTAGCGGTCAACCCTGGAGGTGTGGATGACAGAATTGCATAGCTCTTATTTTCAAGTGCGTCTTGCCTCATATTGTGTTGCTGTTCCTTGCTTCTTTCTCTCTTTTCTGCAGTTTAAATCTGAAAGGGCTTAGCAGATTTTCAGGTGAACATTACAAGTGTGTGTGTGTGCGTGTACTTGTATGGCCAGCAGTGTGGCGACCGGTTTGAATTTTAAACCATGGGAGTGAGGACATTTTGGGAAAGTGAAGACATTTTGGCTGGTCCTCACTTTCTCAGACCCCTTTAAAGGGCTGTTTGAGGGTCATGACTTGGTTTAAAGTTAGAATTAGGTTAGTGTAAGGGTTGCAATTCAATTGTGATGGTTAAGGTTAGGGGCTAGGGAATGCATTATGTCTGTGAATGTCCTCACAAAGTTAGCTATACAAATGTGTGTGTCTCTCCACCAGAAGAGTTTTATCCAGTTGTATCGCTTCATTGTTCAGATGTTGTGAACCTTCGGGGTAGTGATGTTCCATCGAGCAGAGCCTCTTTTGTCCTGTGATTATCAGCACTCATTCCATTCAGTCGCATGATCGGTAACAACACTGATAAAATAGCCCAGAAATCTGACATCAGATTTCCTCTAAAGTTTCCAAAGAATATGTGTTTGTAAAGTCTGCATTTGGCCTCAAAGCATTACAGATGGAAATGCAATGTAGTAGTTGCAGTCTGTTTTGTGTACAGTGTCGCAGGTCAGATGTTAGTATAATACCCTCCCTGGCGCTGCCTCATGTGAAGTAATATGAGTTTCCAATGGAATACACAGCTCAGTGCAAGGATCTTCAGTCTCTTCCTGTGCCCTCATGTGGCCTACCATGTGTACCCATTGCTGGCTTAAGCTCTGAACCACAGGCACAAAATTAATCCTGGCCTGGTGCGGCATGTCCCGCATATGAACATCCCACTGGGACCAGACTGGGTTGCAAGATGGATGTTTTGGTCATCAGCTGTCCATTGCTCTTGTTATATAAGAGAGACACTCTGGTGAGTCAAGTACATGTTTGAACACGGCACCAGCCTGCTGGCGCACTGGCACGCAGACACACAACACCAGTGCCACTCGGCGGTGCCATATGAGACGCTAGAGTCAAGCTGAAGGCTGTGTGCAAATATCCAGGCAGGACTCAATAGAAAGTTAACTTTCCCTCAGATTCTTTCTTTCTGCTGTACAGGCAGTTTGTGTCAAGTTGACCTGTCCTCTTTGTCCTCCCACATTCACTCCTCAGTCACATAAAAAAAAAATCTTTCTTTGACTTTTTCAAACCTGTACTCACATTTTTTTTTACCGTATGTACCACCTCCTGACAGGCCTAGGCTTTATCCTGCAATTGCCCTTCTCTTCCTCTCTCCTTCCCCCCTCATCTCTCCCTCTGTGTGACAGCTCATTTAAATGTCACTTCCCAACAGCTGTGGCAGTGTTGTTACGCAACACAAAGTTCTTCCTGGCCGGGCCTGATCTGCTGTGGGTGGAGGGCCAAGGACAAAGTGAGGGGAAACATTGTAACAGGGGTCATCACTGGTCATCTTTACAAACACTCCTGGCTTCATTACCATAGCACGACTCACCCAAAAACATCTGAGAGGTGAATTCATCTGACGTCCTCTTGTAGTTTTAGCAGGCAAATACCCAAATATAGCAAAAACACTATGTGTACTATTTAGTTTAAAACCTGACCACTCAGTGTTAAGTCAGTTTTAAAAAACATGATCTGAGCGTTTCAGATTTGACATTTCATGGTTGTCATATCATGCCTGAACGCATGACCCCAGGGGTGCCTACAGTGCTCTTGCTGTCATTTCGCTCTCTAACAGTTAGTGATATACATATGCAATATCACGCCACAGAGAAGTTGAGACAAAGAAAATGAAATACTGTTGTACATCATTTTGTACAAATTAACTTGTGTATCCAGGAGCAGTTCTAGAAAAAGTTGGGTGGGGTGGCCAGGGTGGGGCAGCGACTCAGAGAGAGGCGGCACATTTGAAATACATGTAAATATATACAGGAAATAGAAAACCATACATGAATAAGAATCAATTTGTTCATTTTTTTGTACAAATAAGACACACATAGTGCATTCTTTAACTAATTTAAATAAACGAGGATCCTGAGCTCCTTATTTATGGGGACGCCCCCGCCCGCCCCCCAACCTCCAGATCTTGCTAAGCAATCCACAACAACTGAGTCGGAGAAATTAATGTAAATATCATGCTATGTGCGTTATATAAAATAAATCAAATTTGAACAATATCAATTATAAAGCACCAGAAAAGTGTTAGTTGTATTTAAGGCAACATTTGTCATTGGTTTTAATTTTTTTGTTCATTAAAACTGAGAAGCATCACATTTTGACTCTGGCAGGGGTGGCACCAGCAGTGCTACCCCAACCAGGTTGTTGGTGTATACTGTCATCAATACAACGTAAAAATCTTGAAAGCTATTTGATGAGGGTGTGATCTGTCAGGCTTTTGTCATTGGGATGATTATACTTTATACGGTGTGTGTGTGTTATCTGATATATTGTATTTTATCTGATATCAGTTCCCGGTGTGGATGAATGAGTCAGCGACAGGGACTGGTAGTAACGCCACACCAGCTGACGACTGTCAGAGGTGAATGTGTGTGTGTGTGTGTGTTTCACAGTATGTAACCTGAGTTGATTATGGTTTGTGTGGTGCTCTGTCACCGAGGTAATGAATCACTCGGAATGAGACTCTCACTGCTACTGTGAGGCAGCGCACTGTAATGGCATCTGATGAGGGGGTTTGATGTTGTCACGAAGCACAGCTCTTGTATAAACCCCTTCTGAACTTTGTTATGTAAAAAGTTAGCAGGATACAACCACTGCATAAAGTGCTCTGACTTTTCACTCCAAATGACAGATGTGAGATTCCTGATCAAATATATTTAACCCACAGCCTGAAAGATCCTTTGTTTATTAAAAACAGCTGCTCCATTGTTATTGTATCCACATTAGTGAGATATCACTTGCTGCTTCTTGTACATCAAGACCAACAGGTTATTAATATCCCCCTCCAAAGGCAAAACCTGTTGTGTGTCTGTCTATGTGTATAATGTCTCCATGACACTTTCCCTTGTTGTGATCACAGCTGAAGTGGAAAGTGTTGGGCTGGGTGATTACAGAGGAGACCGGGCATACAATTTGAAAAACTGGGGATTTTCCACCCAATTACTCTCAACCTCTCCCCAGAGTGGCGTCCAGCTCTCAGGGAGTGAGACATGGAGCGCTTGGTGTCATATGTCATTGCACACTGATTGCAGAGTGAAAACATGGATCAGAAATAGCAACAGAATGTCTATAAAAGTAGTAGACAGACCCGAGCCCAGACAGAGACAACACAAAGGGAGAGACACACAGTACAAGCCAGGATATACAGCCAGCTGAGATATCATTGTTTCCTCTGACCAACATCCACAACTCAGACACAGGACCAGACCTTGGGACTGATCAACAGGTAGCTTCCCACAGCAGAGAAGATGCCGATTTGTACCGTCGTGGAGAAGTGTAATGGTATGGTGGTGGGAGCTGAGTTGAGCTGCAGTGTACGGGAGGAGAACAAGGCTCAGAGGGAGAGCTACAATGCTGACTGGCACAGCATACATATCAAAACCCAACCTCAGGAAAGGTGAGAACTCACAGAGCAACCAGATGTCCCTATAACTTTGTCTGTGTTATCAGTGAATGAGGAGGTTATTTGGTTTCTAATAATGGCATCCTTCTGGATGTGACAGATACTTGTGAAGTAGGTAAATCATAGTGAATGCTACCACAGTTTCTAACTGCAACCTTTCCCTGATGCTTGCAGGCAGGCTATGAACATGAACGACAGCTCTCGCAGGGAGACTCTGTCCCGGGTGTGGCAGGCCCGTCCACTGATACAGAGCTGCCCCTCTGGCGTCTTCAGAGTAGGCACCATGGAAAGAGGGGTAAGAGAGCACCAGCTGATGCCAAAGAGAATCACCCTCCCCTTGCCCATCTTCACACCTGCAGAGCTGGGTATCAGACTCGGACGCGGGGCCCCACATACTGAGGAGGACCTGAAGTCCTTTCCAGATGGGGCCTGTCCCAGCAAGAGGCATGTGGACGAGATCACCAGAGACCTTCCCCCAGTCAAGCCGACCCTCATGGAGTTCGCCAAAGCACCCAATGTCTTGGGTCGTTCCATGTCCCAGGAGGCCCAGAGAGGGTGAAAAGCAAAAGGACAAAAAGAGGAAGAGGGGATGTTAAGGAGAGATGGGAAGGATGAGAGAGGGAG